CTCAGACTCCACACCTATGAATGACACAACTGCATCAGCTTTTATAACATGCCAACATGCTTCAGCCTGGCTCCTGAGCCTGCCCACGGAGTTCCTTATGCCATGTCTTAGTCTCCTGCTCAGACCTTGCCCCTGAAGCTATGTCAAGACCACCTCACCATTTAGTGAGGCTGCCTTTTGCTCAGAGTGGGAGAGACATTGTCCTGCTCCTCCATATGACCAGGGTGAACCAACACTCTATGAACAAACTCCAGTTCTAACTTCCTGGGAGCTTCTTGGGCCTCTCTGTGTTCTGCCTTAGTGGAAACTGCCCAACACAGAGAAGCCATCACCTAGGTTTCATCAGTGACAACACTGTGGCTCAGCCAGGTAAACAATTCCCAGTAGGACAGCTGTTCTTCAAGTCCCTGGCCATTGTCTTCTCTCCATGGGTATCCCTGTCATTTCCCCTGTTGGGCTCCAACATTCTATCTTGTCCCTATTTTTTCCTTCCTTTATCCAACCCCCAAATTTCCCACCCAGGCTTTCTGTAGAGTTACCTTCCACTCCCAAAATGGCCCATTACTGTGTTTGCTAAATAAAATCCATTGTAAGAGAAATTTTGACCAGCGCCTAAAACAGCAATTACCACTTTCTTCTGTTATATATGAATGCCTCTCCAAAGATACTGGTACCTAGTCAAAAGCACTCAGGGTGCATCTCTCAGAAAGCAATTTGCTGGAACTGGGTGGTTGTTGTTGTTGTTGATGATGATGATGATGATGATGATGATGATGATGATGATGTTTTGGTGGGGGGTTGAGAGGGGCTTGCTTTTTGTTGGCAACACTTAAACTGCAAACAGTGTGACCTCAGATGTACTAAAGAAGAAGATAGCTTGCCCTTCACTAGTGACCTTAGAAATGACCCACCTGAACCTGTGTTCCCTTCTGCCACATGAGACCCATCATGGCACCTGTCCTATGGGCTTGAATGGACCCTACTTACAGGACATTTGCACAGTGCCTGGCACACCCATCATCCTTGACATTCAGGGCATCTGAAAGTGAAATGGGAACACTGATAGGATGCTATAGAGAGCACTCACTGCACATTAAGGAATCATTTGGGAAGTGTGAAAACAAAAAGAAAAAACTACAGGCAGCCAAGTTTTAACCTCAACAAAGAGAACTCCAAACCCATAGCCTTAGGAAAATACTGGTCTCACCAGCTTTTAAATAACTGAGTTGGTTAAATAACTGGGCTAAAATCCATAGATGTGGATGTTATCTGAGAGAAGATGTGGGGTTTTTTGTTTTGGTTTGGTTTTTCAAGACAGGGTTTCTCTATATAGCTTTGGCTGTCCTGGGACTCACTCTGTTGACCAGGCTAGACTTGAACTCAGAGATCCACCTTCCTCTGCACACCTTTAGTTCCAGCACTTGGGAGGCAGAGGCAGGCAGCTCTCTGTGACTTCAAGGCTAGCCTGGTCTACAGAGTAAGTTCCAGGACAGCTAGGGTTGTTACACAGAGAAACCCTGTCGAGAGAGAGAGAGAGAGAGAGAGAGAGAGAGAGAGAGAGAGAGAGAGAGAGAGAGAGAGAGAGAGAGAGAGAGGAAGGAAGGAAGGAAGGAAGGAAGGAAGGAAGGAAGGAAGGAAGGAAGGAAGGAAGGAAGGAAGAAAAGGTGTGTGCCAACACCACCAGGGCTGTTTTTCTTTTAAGAGGTGATAACCCAATTCCATTCTTCATGTAGGTGCTGAACGCAAAGGTGAGAACATGAAATATTTCAATTCCTCCTAGGCGCTAGTACAATCCTAGAGAGACAGAGAATGTGCCAGAGTAACTGGGACATCTCAAAGTGGAATTGTAACATTTAGACCTCAATGGTTCTTGAAATTTTTCAGGTCCCTGAAATGCTTAAAAGATGATCACATTGGCTGAGACCCCTACAGGTCACAAATGCACAACAGCAACCTACATTACGGTGGCATTCTTTCCAGTGCCAGACTTGAAAAATTATCATTTGGTTTGACTATAATTCGTGGATGACTTTTCTATGGAGGAGGGTTCAAATTTGTTTATTTCTGTTTCAAACTTAATATGAAAAAGACTGCCATCTAGATCCTCCTTGGGAGTTAACTTACTATTCCTTTTCATCCACATTACTTCATCTTGCTTTCTTAGCTTCTGTTGGCCATGCAGCTGAAGGCTGAGACTTGGTAGAATACAGCTGTACTGAGTCTGAAGCTATTTGACAGAGCATTTATCCCCAAATCATCCTGTCCTGGTTGCATCTTTTATTTGGCACTCCCTTAAGAAATACCTATGTGCACAGGACTCTTGGTCCTGAGGAAACACAAACATACACTAACAAGATTCGGTCCCTTCCTTTCTAATTGCTCTGCCCTAAGGGAGGAAAACAGGCCGACCAGCAAGTGATTCACACTGGCAGATCTGTGCGCAGTGTGGCAAAGGAGACTAGAAAACAGGAAGACATTTCTACATCTTGGAGCAGGGTTGATAATATGTAAAAGCTTCAAAAGATCCAGGACCTTCAATAATGAACAAAAATCCACAAGCAAGGAAGAGATCTTAATGGTGCATGCCTGCAAACCCAGGAGACTGAGGCAAAAATTCCAGCCTAGCCTGGGTTCCATAGCTGAGTCCTTGTACAACAAAAAGAAAGAGAGGAAGGAAAGGGAGAAGGAAGCAGGGAGAATAGTAGAGACTAGAAAAATGGTACCCAAGAGAGAAAATACCAAATGTATGTGTGTATACATATGTATAATATGAATGTCTCAGCCGGGCGGTGGTGGCGCACGCCTTTAATCCCAGCACTCGGGAGGCAGAGCCAGGCGGATCTCTGTGAGTTCGAGGCCAGCCTGGGCTACCAAGTGAGTCCCAGGAAAGGCGCAAAGCTACACAGAGAAACCCTGTCTCGAAAAAACCAAAAAAAAAAAAAAAAATATGAATGTCTCAAACCTATAATAAAAATAATCTCAATCAACTGTACAGAACACAGTAAAGAGGTATACCAGTTGGCTTAGTACACCTCATACCTTTGCCCTTTGGGTACATTGTAACTTGAGCTTTTCTTTTCCATACTTGGATGCTGTCTTTTTGCATGCTAACCATACAAAGAAATCCCTATATGAGTTCTAGAAGGAAGGAAATTTTATTAGCAAAACTTGCCAGCATTCTTGTTCTTCATCCTATGTGAGACTTCTGAGCTGTTCTTGTGAAAACTGGTCACAGAACAGTACTTGTTCTGTCAATCGTCAAATGGATAATCTTGAGGTTCTCAGACCCCACCCATGACTAAAAGGGCATTGCCAGGAACTTGCTATATCACCAAAGAGGATTTGTCGTGTGTACACTCAGCTACTTAGAACTTCATCACCTAAGTGTCCTTACACAACTTTGCTTTCATCAGTGTCCCATGCAGTAGTGTCCTGCTTCTGCAGTTCCCCTTGCACAGATAGTTCGTCTCTCCTGTAACTAGGCATGTCATTCCCTGCATCTGGAAGCAGGAGCTCTAGGGAGCACAACCCCCACAACTGCATGGTGCCACACGCTTAGGAACGCCTCCCAGCTGGTTGAGTCTCCTGTGGCTGTCATCCTGAAAGGCCTACTAATTTTTTTTAACAAGGAGAACTGCATTTTCATTTTGCACTGAACACTGCAAATTATGCATCTGCTTCTGTCCAGAAAACAACCCACTATGAGGTGAATTCCTGTAAAGCCTTGTCCATACACCTGGCATGGGAGCCATCACAAAATACTTCTGAGTCCAGTTGTGTTACAGTGATTATTTTAGCCATCATTCACTTTGCAGGGTGACTGTCACAAGCCTGGGAGTTTAAGCAGCCCCCAAATACTTCTGACATTTTGTTACATGTAACTGATTTGACCAAATGCTACGTTTTGACCTTGACTACACTTTATCATCCCACTAGCAACTGTGTAAATTGGTCTTCCCCCTTTAAAGTTCCTTCAAGTTTATAAACACCTGCATCCCCAAACACTGATTCAAGTTTCCCATGTCGTGGACTTAATGTGTTAGGTCAGATTTAACATTTTCTTGAGCACAATTTGATTAAGGATATGCAGGATTTTGGTAAATGCTAAGTCTTATCACTTCTGCTATTAAAGACTCAGACCAGACCCTGGACTGGAGCTGGTCAGTGGCTCTTACTTGAGCTGTAAAAACAGCAGCTGAACATCCACAAGGGAGGGAAGTTATTTTCTTAGCATTAACCATTTGAAAGAGCTGTCCTTAAGGTGAGTGACAAAGGGGGCGTCTGTAAACTCTGCATTCATCTCTGGACAGCCCATCACACCTCAAGCCATTTCTTCGATTGTAATTGTCATTTTCTACCTATCCACATTGTATCTTGACATAGAACTGCCACCAGTTCTGATACAATGATTGCTCACCGAGTCTCCAGAGGCCTGAGATCAAAAGTGAGCTCACCACATACTGCTAGCAGATATTAAGGCATTCTCTTGAGGACCAAGGATGCAGTTCAGTTAGTAGAGTACTTACCTAGCATGCCCAAAGCCCCAGGTTCGATCCTCGGCATCACACAAACCACAAACCTGGCACTTTCTCTGTACAGGTTAACATGGTGGTGTACAACCATAAGCCCAGCATTTGGAAGGTGGAAACAGGAAGCCAGAAGCTTAAGGTCACTCTTGACTGCATAATGAATTTAAACCAGTCTGGGTCATATGAAAACCTTTCTCCAAAAAGAAAAAAAATGGCTTGGGAATGTGGCTTCATGATAGAGAGCTTGCCTTGGCCCTGCTGGGTTCCATCCTCAACACCAAAAAAGAAAAGAAGAAAATTTCTTGGTGAAGACCCCTCAAAGACAGTACAGGAAATCAAGTATGGGGTATTGCATGGGCCTGTGTGTCGGTAAGGAGTGACAAGACACATCATCGTGATCTACCATGAGTAACAGAAGTGGCATACGTCTCATTTCTCTTGCTCCTCCTGAATTCATGTCTAGAGACTGACTGTGTTTCAAACATGATCTTTATTTAATTGCTCAGTTCCTGGGGAATATTAGCTTAATAGTTTCACCCGAATTCACATTCATTTCAAACCAACAGCATAATTCAGCCACAACTACACAGTGCATGACCAAAATCTTGGACAGAACTGGCTGTAGCCAGGCTGTGGATACACGGGAGCAGGTAGCCCTTGTCTGGCTCAGCATCCACAGTGGGACAGTCTTTCTGACAGCAGCCATTGCTCTGCCTGGCCACAGCCTACACTACATTTCTTCAGTCTGTGCATCCACAGCACTCAGAACAGTAAACATCACAGCTTCTTCAAAACTAACCTTCACAGACCACCCCTAGGCACCTGGGCAATTCTGATCCTGGGTTATGTCAGATCCCTGCCCGTCTGTGTTCGTGCAGTTTGGAAAACAAATCTGAAAGTTTAGTTACTTATTTTGAATTTGCCTCTCCACATTAATAAATTCTGCAGTTCTTTCTCATTCTTTGGTGGGAATTAAAGAGCTGGGTCACCTTGGAAACATTGCAGATACACATTGCTTACTCTGTGCATCTCATAGAGACGGCAGGCCACGACCTCGCTCAGCAGCCGGGCACTTTCTCTGTAACAGGTTAACAATCTTCTCCTCTTTCCCTCTAAACGTTTTCAGTATTTGATAGTTACATATTTCATCCACTTATCTAACAAATATTTATCAAGCACTCACTGTGGGTAGATACTGAAGGGCATAGATTTTTGCTCCAGTCCCTGTACCCAGGGGTCAGTGTGAATGCAATCTTTCATTGGCTCTGAGATTCCTGAAACTCAAGCACCCAGCCTGTGCCTCTGTCTTGTTCCAAACTCCTATTTGTTGACTAAAGGCCCTGCCTGGACTCCATTCTCTAAATGGAGCTTTCTAATTAACAAATACATTCCAAAGTCAAAGGGCTAAGCCAGGCATGTCAGCAGTCAGGCAGAAGTCACAGACAGAATCTCTGAGAGACAAGCTACTCTGACGAATATTTCCTCCCGCTGATGGACGTCCTGCCAGGTCGGGAAACGTGAAAGGATTGCTTTCATATACGCTGCCTCAGAAATGGTCACAGCTCTGTTGCAGTTTGTCGTGGCACAGGTCTGCTTGCACCAGGGGCTGACAAGAGCTTGTTAACACCAAAAATGCTTCTCCCCTTCTCCAAGCTCTGGCAGCTAAATGTCACTGATATGACTATCTCGGCCTCTAGTGGGAACAACACCCATCTCACTTTCCTAGAATGCAGCTAGGTACAAATCTCCAGGAGCAACAATTCACCTTTTCAAATTTCAGAGCCCAGGAGTGGCGAGAATTCAGCTGCTGCAAAACAAGGAAAATACAGACAGAAACTCTGGGCAAACAGAGGAGGGGAAAGCTGTTGGTGTGAGCTGAGAATTTCCTCTCAGCAGAGGCCGTGAATGCTCTGTAAGCTCCAAGGCTCTCTACAACATGTAGTAAGTTTTAAACACAAGATCCAAAACCATAATTCGATTCTAGTGCAATCCAAGTCTGTGGATATACTGGAAAAGAATGAAGTCGACGGCTTTAAAATCTTTTGCTCAACAAGAAATGAATTTCACTGTGGCTGAAAAGAGCTGATTCTAATGCCATACAAAATTTGTTTTTAACTGGTTATTTTATCCATAATCATTGTTTTTTAATGACACTACCTTAATTTGCTGCTAAGCCTTTTTCATCTATAGTTACCCCACATTAATATTTATTTTGTTCAATTTTAAAGTATTCTTAAATTAGAGCTCTTACAAAGTTCCCCTGCTGCTGAAGGCACTACCATAAAAAATACCATGGAAATCTTGATCAGTATTCTAGTAGCAGTCTAGCTCAATAGCAAGACACGGGAAACAATCTTTCAGGAGATTAGGAAATAACCCCTCTAATACACTTTTTAAAAAAAAAATGTGCTTCTTCATCTTTGACTTCACATTGTAATGATAATTAAACTCAAGAATCACTTCATGTTAAAACATTTCCTATGTACATATTATCTTTTTTTTAAATAAAGTCCTCAGCATTCAACCCACATTTGTTGATTTTCCAGAATCTCATAATAAATTACTGTAAAATAAAGCTGCGAGAATACTGAACTTGTACCGTATTTAATATAATATACAATATACAACTATACTGTCTGTTTTTCCTATTTGGGTTTCATAATTTATTGTAACATGACACCATACAGAATACTTCAGCACAATATGAGTTCAGGACGTAGGAGTATCATAACCACTGCTGGGAAATTTAATGATTTTTCCCCCCACTGGAAAATACCAAATCTCAAAATCCTACACACTAATCCATTTTTATTTCCTCTTCTTTAGAATCCTTTTAGTATCTAAAAGTTCTTAGCTAAAATCCTACACTGTATGCAGCACGTACTTTGTTTTGAAAACTTGCCTTTAGGAAATAAAGAGAACATCCTATCTCCAGGACATCCCAAATCCCAAGCAAACTATTTCAAATTCCTGTCCTTTAGTATTGTTAGTTTGGATGGGACATGAGGAAAGAAAACCTGAGTGCCCCTCCAGTCCTCAGTTAAAACTTCGCTTTAATATGCCTCCGGATACTGTGTCAAAGACAAACACACTCCAAAGAGATATTTCTGTCATTCCACTAACTACAGAAGTTGCTGCCACCACCAATAGTGTCCACTCCATTTTGAAACTTGTATTCTAGTCATCAGAACTTTAAAAAAAAAATTATATGCCTTTAATTTTTTTTTCTTTTTTCTGAACCAACTTCAGAACAAAAACACCAGTCTCTGCTTCAAGGTACCCTGTCTCAACTCACAATACAGTAGTAATCAAAACCGAATGCCTTCAAATCTCAAGGGCTTGTTTCTTCCTTTCTCTACTCAAAGCTGAACAGGAGACTAGTGTGTGCTCTCTTCTCTGCCCTGCTGGGGTTTGCCTGTAGAAGGTTGGTTCCAGTCCTAGGCACCTGGCAGACTGTGGTTTACATGTGAGGAAACAACACATGAAACAGATTATAACTAAGGCTTCTCCCAGCTTAGCAGTCCCCCAAGTAGATGGCTGGAAATGTAGGGTGAGGAGGGGAGCAGAGGCCACCTGAAGTTCCAAAGACAAGTAACACTGGTAAATCCAGAGTAATGGAGGCAAATATAAAAAAAGAATATTATTTATTATCTTCTTTATTAATACTCACACGTAACCTTTGCTGTTTACACAAAAGTCTACTTTTGAAGAATGCCTCCTTGGGTTTACCAGCCCGGTGGGGGCTTTTTGCTCTGGGACCGCTTCCCCCTTCTCCACCCACCCCACCCCACATCCAAATTAATCTTACACATTCACAGATACCACAAAAAATTTGTAAACAAGATTTGGGTTACTGGAACTTGATTTATCAACATTCCACTTCAATATGAAAGGGAGGAGGGAGAGAGGATGAGAAGGGGAGAGGGAGAGGAGGCAGGAGGACAGGGCAATTTGTCGGAACTTTCAAGTCTTGCCTTTTCTGAGGGGTGTGTGTGTGTGTGTGTGTGTGTGTGTGTGTGTGTGTGTGTGTGTGTGTGTATGTTGAGGCTGTTCCTTGAAATTCACTGACTCAAAACGTTGACAGCAAGTGCCTGTGTGGTTATTTATATTATATATCTATAATAGAATATGTGGGCTTCCTCAGCTTGGGTCTGGGCTGTGTTTGTTTAAACACACCATCCTCTTTGTGGGTGTCTCCAGAGGGCCTCAGATCTCTTGGGAACCCCTCTCAAAGCCGGGGCTTCCGAAGCAGGGTCTTGCTGAGGTCTTTGACCTCCTCAGGGCTGTTGACCCGCTCATAGCCCAGCACTGCCATGGGCTGGTAGCAAAACTCCTCCACCTGTTTGATCTGCTGGAAGGTGAGCGCGGTCCGCCAGGCGTTGGCGGCCTGAGTGGCATTGCGAGCCGACACCACGAAAGGCTTGGAGGAGGAGCCCGAACCGCTGGTCATGTTCAGGGCAAACTGCTCCATTTCGGGACTCACCAGCAGCCCCACAAAGTCGTAAACCCTCCGCAGGGTCTTAACCGGGTCTCCCACCAGATCCTCGTACCTCACCACTAAGTAGTGTCCCTGCAGCCAGTCGGGGGGTTGCAGGGCTGTCTGCAGCGTTTTGGCCATACTGTTGCAGATGACCTCCATTGCACCCAGAGCATGGTAGTCTGCTGGCCCACCTATACCCTCCTTCTTGGCACCCAGCTTGTGGCCAGCGGCCTCCAGGAAGGGCATGCGGTGGGCTCTCGGATCCCGGCTTCGCACCACCTGTAGGCTTTCCCGGATGAGGCCATGGCGCGAGCGGATGCGGGAACTGGCAACCGCACGAGGATCACGCACCAAGTGGATGACCTTGAGGTCCAGGGCTGGATCTCGAAGCAGCGGTGCCAACACAGCCACATCGAAGACGCGCACGCCCTTGATCACCAGCGTGCGATACTTGCGGCACTCCTCCTCGAAGCGTGCCAGGCGTTGAGGTGGGCACTTCTTGCACACGCGGTCGTCCACCAGCCCGACGACCTCCTTGCGGTAGGCGGGACAGAGAGGCGAGGAGCACACCACCTTGTTGGTGGCTGCCCCAAAGATGCCCAGAGTGGTGAGGTTGCGCCCCCCACTGCCGGCGGGGCTATACAGTTGGAAAACCGAAAGATCGCAGCGGTAGAGAGCGCTCAGCATGTCCCGCGCTGCCCCCTGCAGGGAAACCGCGTCCCCAGGGTACAGTTTTTGCCACACGTGCCACACAGGCTCGTAGAGGAAGAACACCTCAGGGTTCTGGTTGAAGAGCTCGCCGAAGAAGGAGGAACCGGAGCGCCACGTGGTGAACACATACACCAACTGCCGCTTGTCCCCTCCACCCCTGGTGCCTCGAGTGCCATTGCCTGGAGAGGCCGCAGCTCCTACAGCCCCCACCGCGGCTGCGGGAACTGCCCCCACGCCGGCTGCGGGAGGGCGGTATGGGGTACGGGGGTCCATACGCGGGTGAGCGCGGGGTGGCGCTGCAGGAGGCGACCCCGGCCGTCCCCAACCGCCTCCGGTCGCCCCCGCCGCGGCACCCAGAGGCCCGTCGGGGTTGCACTGCTGCAGCGGCTCCTTATGCCACTTGTAGTCCAGGAGGTTGAGCATAGTGAGCACCAGCAGCAGTGCATAGCCCGCGCACAGCACCAGCGCCTTCCTGCGAAACACCTTCATCCCGAGCGGGGACGCAGGCCAGCGGCGTCCTGCGCGCCGGGGCCACGGCGGGAGCAGGGCCCGCTGCACGGCGGCAGGCGCGGCCGGCAGCGGCCGGGGAAGCGCGCCCGGGGGCAGAGCTCGCGGCGAGCTGCGGCTCATCACAGGCACAGCCGGGGCCGGCGGCGCGGCGGAGGCGGCCCTGCAGCCCGGGAGGGGGACGCTGCAGGCCGGCTGCGGGCGCCGGGACTGGGGCCGCCGATCCGAGGCGGGCGCGGCGGCAGAGGCGGCTGGTCCCCGGCGCCCAGGGCTGGCTCTCCCATGGCAGCGGCTCCGAGAAGGACCTGCGAGGGGAAGCGGAGTCAAGGGGTGAGCCTAGTCTCCCGCCCAGATGCCTCCTCCGCCTGAGTAACGCCCACCCTCTCTGGTCTGCGGGCTCCCCCACTCACCTGGAGCAGCGGGTGCGCCCCCAGAGCGTCCCCGGATCTCCGACCGGCAGACTGTCCGGCTAGCGCTCTCCTCGGTTTCTGTCCGGTTCTCTTCTGCCGGGGGTCCCCAATCCTTCCAGGGAGCTGCGGGACTCCGCTGTCTCAGCCCTAGGCAGAGTTTCCCGGCAGCGGGCGCCCTGCAGCTCGGGAGGGGAAACTTTCACCGGGCCCAGACCCCTGCTCTGCGCTCCACCGAGCGCGGCGCGTCCCGGCTCCAGCGACGTCTCCCCGAGTCTCTTGGGACCGCAGCTTCCCTCCCGGCTCTGGGGCACGAAGCAGGCTGGAGGCGACGGTGCGGGGTGGCTTACACACGTCCCAGCTCCAGGCTAATCGGCTCTCCATCTCTCGCTCTGGGCCTCCACGTAGCGAACCTTCCCATCCCTCCGGCGGCGGCGGATAGGGTACGGCACGGCCCCGCAGCGGCGGCTGCTTCTTCCATCACCCGGAGGATGTCCGGGCAGGCGGCTCAGGCGAGCCCCGGAGCTCCGTGACCGCGGACTGGCCCAGGAGGACCCTGGACACGTAGGTGGAGGCAAAAGAGCGGGACCCTCTCCCGGCACCGGCTGCTTCTGCCCAACGAAGTCCCGAGGCAGAGAAAGCCCCCGCCGCGGCCGCACTAAAGCGGCGCCCGGGAGGATGCTGCTACCCGACTCCCCCTACGCCGGGCGCCTGCAACGCGCTCGGGCCGGCCTCTGCGCGGCTCCTGCCAGCCCGCTCGGGGTTGGTGCGCGCCGCCGTCTGTCGCCCCGGCTCCTCCCCTTCGCCGCGCTACCCTCCTCCTCTGCCTGTCCCACACCCTCCCTCCTCGCAGCTCCCGACTCCCGCCGCCACCTCCTTAGGGGCTGGAGATGCGACCCGGTTCAAGGCGGCGCCGCTCGGGCCGCCATCCCCGAGTCACAGAACAGAGCTCTAGGTCCTCCCAGAGCGCGGCGCCGGCGCCTGATTCGCAGCTTCTCCTGGACTGCCGGAGACTTGAGTTCTCAGCGGCTGCAAGACTCGGCTCGAGTATTTGCTTCCGAGAAGAGTTGGTGATAAAAGTTTGGGCAGAAATCCCCCGTTCGTCCCCAGCGGTCAGCGCTGGTGTCCTCTCCCAAGGCGGGAGCAGCGCCGCCAAGCCGCGCTGGGTATAATGGGAACACAGTTCTGAGGCTTCGACCCTGGTGCTCGCCCTTCCCAGCTGGCTTGTGGTTTCTCCTTCAAGAGGAAGTAATAAATCTTTCTGGCCCCGGGGTCACTGAAGGGATTCAGAGTGTGCTTTTCGGCACCCGATCCGAGTGCCCCGGACTTGGACAAGGCCACTAGGTTTCGATGACCCCCACCCCCACCTCCCGCCCTCCCTCCCGGCAGATGCTCTAGGCGTGCGCTCCTAGCGGAGCTTCCACCTCGGCTAACATCCTCTGAGACAGGGCTGCTGGGGGAGGGGTGGACGCTTTGTTTTCATTTCTAGTAAAATACTTGTCGGGTCCCTTGACTTTAAAGAGGAAGAGACGAGATCCAAGAACTTGATCGCAAAGGAAAACGTTCTTGGTCGTTGAAAGTTTACTTTTTTAGTTTGATCTGTGTTGGCTTATATACTTTTTTTTAACTAGTGAGGGAGATATCGCGAGTAAACCATATAGCCTCCACTGTAAAACGGAACAGCTACAGTAACCCTAGGTGAAGGCAGGATAGGGAAGGTTGGAGGGCGACATAGGTCCTCTAGTTTCCACCTAGACGGGCGGAAAGGTGAGTCATTGTGGTCCTGAGGTTCAGCCCTGTGATAAACTGCGGATCACGGGGAGGCTGATTGCCTCGTCCCTTGGAAGCTTTTACAAGTAAAACACAGTTGCTGCAGAATTATCTTAGTCTCCCAGGAGCAGCCTCCCTTGGCCTGAAGACCCTTCTAAATTTAAAGTGTTGCCGTTGATGACATGTTTCTTCAGGGAATCATACAGAATATTCTGGGTACAAGGATTCTTGGGGGAGGGGGGTGACAATTCAATTATTCTGTGGCTTTAACTATTTTGGTTTGGTTTCGTTTTGGGTTTTTGGGGGGGCCTTTATTTCTTTTGTTATTTTATTTTGTATGGGTTTAGTTTGGGGGTTGAAAAATTAAAAATAGCATGATGTAGGACCAGCGGAATGATTCCTTGGTTAAAGGCACTTGAGCCCAAGCCCGTGATCTGAAATCGAATCCTGAAATACACATGATCAAAGGAGAGAATAGATTCCTACAAGCTGTCCTTTGAAATCCGTATGTGCTCCTTAACACATGTGCCTCCATCCCAACACACACAGACAAATAAGTAATACAAAAAATGTTAATAGTTTGATTTGGTCCTATTTTCCAGAAAAATCCATAATGTCTTTCATGAGTAAGGTTCAGCTGAAGTATTATTTCCCTTATGGTTCTAATGAAGTATGTGGATAGGACATTTCTAGAACATACTCAGTTTATAAAACATTTTTATATATCGGGATGTGCAATGACACAGCACTGATGTGGAGGTCAGAAGACAGCCTGCAGAAGTTGGCTCTTCACCATGTGGGTTCTGCCAGTGTAACTCTGTTTTTTTGGCATAGTGGAAAGGACCTTTACAGGCAGAGCCATCTCTCAGACCCATCAACTCTCACATGTAACTTTCTTTTGTTGTTTTGTTTTGTTTTGTTTTGTTTTGTTTTGTTTTGTTTTGTTTTGTTTTGTTTTGTTTTTCGAGACAGGGTTTCTCTGTGTAGCTTCGGAGCCTGTCCTGCATCTCGCTCTGTAGACTAGGCTGGCCTCGAACTCACAGAGATCTGCCTGGCTCTGCCTCCTGAGTGCTGGGATTAAAGGCGTGTGCCGCCACCACCCGGCTCACATGTAACTTTCTTAAGTGGATGCGTAGAAATGAAGCCTGGAGATGTTGCAGTAGATGTTTAATGTGTTGCCTTCCACTCTCCTTTTTGCCCACCTCCACCTCCCTTCAAATACACCTCCCCCTTCTTCCCTCTGCTCTTTCCCCCACCAAACCTAAAGCTGTATTTTTGAATGGAAAAAAACAAAACTGATGGAGGAAATAGGAATAGCAAAAAAGAGACTAACACACCTATGGTCTCCATCACCATTCCCAGAGAAATACCTTCTAAGAGGCTGAGGCTAATATGTGGGTTTGTGCTTACTCAGAAAGCACTCAATTGCAGTTATTTGAGGTAAGGGCCCTTTTAAAAAACAATTGTTTGCATAGAAACAATTTTGATGCAATTGTGTAACGCTTTCCTGGAGTTGGCAAAATAGTGACTCCATTTGTCAGCCGCCTCCACAGTGATGTTCCGCTGTGATGCTCAGCTGGTATAAATTCACAGGTTCTGGCATCTCCACCCTCTCCCTGCTTGCAAATATTTTACTATTTGCACAGTGTCATGATTAATTCCAAACTTTGTGACAGCTAATGAATTCCAAAAACTAGATGATGCGTTTCCACCTGCATTTGTCCAGGAATTTCTCTCCTTTGGGTCTAGTCAGTGTGTGTGTGTGTGTGTGTGTGTGTGTGTGTGTGTGTGTGTGTGTGTGTGTAATAAATCATATAACAATTTCACTTGCAGAGGATCCCATAGTTCCACAGGGCTGTCATAAGTTTCAAAACACTGTTTAGTTCATTATAATCTGATCTCTTCTAGAATGTCCTTTGAGCTGTCCTGTTGCTCCTGGAAGGTGCTGTGGCTTTGTCCTGCTCCTGGACAAATGTTCTGTGGTGTGGAAGGCTAGAACCCAGCCTGGGGGAAGTGGCAGAGATCAGGTGTTCCTGTTGGAAAACAGAAAACTGGAGAAACTGGAGCTCACAGCTGGTTCCTGTCTAGGCCTATGAGTGAACCCAGATTTGTCTTTGGGAAACGCTGTTCCTGAGCGCTAAAACTCATTCCTTCCTTTGCACTTTCAACAAATACAAGTTTCCTGTAGACCTTGAGTGTGCACAATTGGTTCGGAAATCTTTGGTTTAAGACGTACTGTCCTCATTAGTCCAAGTGACTCCCTCCTCTTATATGTTTTAGTATAATATAAATATATGTCAGCCTGGCTGTGGTGGTGCATGCCTTAAATCCCAGCACTTGGGAAGCAGAGGCAGGTGGATCTCAGTGAGTTTGAGGCCAGCCTAGTCTATAAAGCAAGTTCCAGTCCCTGTCTCAAAAAAACAAAAATAAAAATAAAAATAAAAATATTTGTCTATCTACCTACTACATAGGCCAAGAACGCCCAAAGGTAATCACTCCCAATAAATTTAGTTTAGAAATTTAGATGAAATGGTCACATCCCAAAGAGAATTTTAAAGAATGTTTTCCTTTACAATCTCAAAAGGAAATAGCTTGAATAATCTTGAGATTATTAAGGAACTGGGGCAGTCGCTTAAAATGTCCCCGTGAGAAAAACAGTTAGCTCGGAGGGATTTAAAGAAGGTTCCCCCACACTTTGAAGGCCTAGGTAGCTTCTATCTTATACAAACTGTTCCACACAATAGTATCTGAGGAAGTACTCCCCCAGCTCACCCTAAGGGATATTATCTGGAAGGAGACTGGGGTGGGAGGAGGGAAATATGAATGAAGGTGAATACATAATGTGTATAAAAACATATGAGTAAAGTAAATCTAATCAAATTGAGGGAAGGGCAGTGCTCTGTAACCAAGCTGTGTTTATCCCAGGAGCATAATGTCCACTTCATGAATATTAAGCGCCTGCAGAATATCAGGTGCTGGTGGAGTTCTGTAGGATACAGGCGTGACAGAGACAAGTCTGCCCGCCACCCTCATGGACTAGGAGACATTCAGTGCACATGTATTTAAATAAGTAAGATTGTTCTAAACGCAAGTATTGTGATAATACCTGGGAGCAGCTGCTTTACACTGGGGAGTTGACCTTTGCAAAGGAGAAGTGATCCTTACCAAGAATGAGGACACTACGTGGGAAACTGAGGACGTGAGAAGTGCATGCCCCTGACTACTACATGGGGGACTGAGGGTGTGAGGAGTGCATGCTGCTGACACCCCAAGTACAAACCCTGAGTTGGAATGAGGTCGGAATCTTTAAGAAGCAACAAGAGTGGGTCTGGAGATACCATTCAGTAATTAAGAGCACCTGGCTGCTCTTCCAAAGGACCTGGGTTCAAATCTCAGAACCCACAGGGCAGCTCACAACCATCTGCAACTCCAGCCCCATGGTATCTGATGGCCTCTTCTGGCCTCTGTGGATACTGCACACACACAGTACACAGACATACATGCAGGCAAAGCAGCAATACACATAAAATAAAAATAACTAAGTCAATCAATCAATCAATAAAGCAAGCAGCAAGCGCTCTGGTTGGACCAGAATCCAGTGAAGAGGTCATAGAGTGTCCTAATTGGGGTTTGCCTGGCTTGCAATACAAAAATGGTTTCCTTGACCTTAAACTTTAAAATTCAGCTTGACAAGAAGACTTAAAAGGATGTTGTAGCTGCCTGGAGGGCCAGGAATCAGAAACAGAAGCTGGATAGCCCAGAGACCTAGGATAGAACCAAACATGACTGGTCAAAAAGAGAGAGATTGAGAAAAGAAAGGAAGGAAGGGAGGGGGGAGGGAGGGAGGGAGGGAGGGGAAGAGAGGGAGAGAGAGAGAGAGAGAGAGAGAGAGAGAGAGAGAGGGAGGGAGGGAGGGAGGGAGGGAGGGAGG